TGAGTGGTTGTTTGTTTCGTGAGCAATAAAATAATTTTAAAATAATTTTTAATGATACAATAGCGACGTTTATTAATTTAAAAAAAATCTGTTCGGCTAAACATCGATGAAAATTCAACGCAAAGTTGGTTAATAGCGATATACTAATAAACTAATTACATGGGATATACTAATATCCTAATATACTATACTAATAATGTATTTTTTTCCTTCTTTTCGGTTATCCAATTTTTCAGTTATCCGACCAACCTGAGTCCCCAATTGAGTCGGATAATTGATGCTCTACTGTATAGACAAAGTTAATGACCAATTTAATATATTTCGACAACTGCTCAAAAACCAGATGGACCAGGCCGACCGCATGGAGGTTTATGTTTGCTGATTAAAAAAAATATTGGAGAGATTAAATTTAATCAAAAAAACTGATAACTACATAATGGGTTTTACTACATGTTACTAATTCAACTATAACATTGTGATTTAAAAAACTTGTAATAATTTTATTGATATACACTCCTCCAGAACAACTAGAAATTATAAATAAAATATTTGATTAATGTGAAAAATGGAAACATATTTCTCCATATATTATAATATAATCATAGGCGATATGAATGCTAGAATAGCTCAACAAATGGATACATTTTATTATGGTCCCAATTCATTAATTTGCAATACCTGAGAATCCAAAGATAAAAAATATAATAAACTTGGAATGCAACTACTCAAATATACTCAACATTTACAGTTATATATTATGAATGGAAGGCTAAGATTTGACTGTCCTTCAGAATTTACATGTATAAATTATAATGGATGTTCGGTAATAGATTTAACTATTTGTCCAGAATCATGTCAGATCTGTGTGTATCTATTCAGGTTTTGAATTGTGATATGTCTGACCATTTTCCAATTTGTGCCTCTTTTGAGATTTCAACTAAAACTGTTTATGAAAAAATATTTATACTTTATTAAATAATTCATTATAATTATCAAGGTGTTCTTTCACAAATTAGTAATTGCATCAAAACTACTATAAATAACGAATTATATAATGAAAACGAAAAATATTTACAATTGATAAATATAATTAACCAATTTATAAAAATCCAAACTTTAAAACAACGACAAATTTCTACATTCAAAAAACCATGGTATGACTTCCACTGCTACACAGCAAAAAGAAAGAAGAATAAAGCCTTGCACCAATTTAGACAAAATTATTCAAACAAAACATTTATGAATTATAAAAAATTAAAAACTATTTATTTTAATTTACTAAAAGCAAAAAAGATCAATTACTTAAAAAATTTATATCATCAATTGATTTATACCAAAAATTCAGATTTCTTCTGGACTGCAATACAAAGATTAAGGAGGAAAAAATTAGACCATCGAATAAATATAGATACATCAACTTGGATTCAAATCTTTAACAGATTTCCAAATATAGATAATCCACTAACTCTAATACAGTAGAGCATTGTTTATCCGAATCAATTGGGGACTGAGGTTGCTCGGATAACTTATTTTTTGGATAACCAATTATGTATGAAAAAATATATTAACCTATCCCATGTTGAAATTTTTCTCTGTTGCGTGTCGCTTCGCGTTGAATTTTCATCAATGTTAAGTCTAACGTAAACTTTTTAAAATAATAATTGCGGCTATTGTATCGTTAAAAATTATTTCTTTATTTTTTACAAACAAAATAAATATATTGAAAAATATAAAAACAAATAAAAATTATACTTTAGAAGTTGATCTAGTATCAAAAACGTTCGATTCAGCACAACACACAGTCCTCAGAAAAACACCACACAAAAGTACCAGTGCTGCCAGCTAAAACACACACCAACAAAAAAATATTGGAGTAGCTCAAGATATAGCCAAAGATTGCAGCACCACACCACTAGTGAAAATTTAAATTTGTGGACTGGAATGCTTTTGGTTAACTGACTTTCAGATAAACGACACTCTACTGTATCTTTTAATCCGAATAATGATTTATTTGATTTGCCATTTACTATTGACAAACTTGAGGATTCAATCCAAAGAATGAAATTAAAGTCTGCCCCTGGCATTGACCTAATAACTTCCAAATTTATCAAATCCTTGCCTCCATCAGGCAAACAGATTTTGCTTGACTCATTCAACTTATAAAACGTCTAAATACCCAGAAATTTGGAATACAGCTAAATTAATTATGATCTACAAAAAAGGACATCGTTTGGAACCTGAAAATTATAGACCAATTGCTCTTCTTCCAGTATTAAGGAAATGTTTCGCATCTATTTTAGTAAACCGATTTCAGTGATGGACCCACAAAATGAATGTTAACTCTGAATTTCAATACGCTTTCACTAAATCCAGGGGTACAGAATTTGGTATTTTCTTACTATCCTCAATTATTCAAATATATTTACAAAAAAAGTAGGAAAATTTATGCTGTCTTTATTGATATTACCAAAGCTTTTGACTCTGTTCATGTTCCGACTTTGGTTAATAAATTAAAACAATATGGTGCAAGTAACAGTTTTTCAAATTTGATTATGCATCTTTTTTCTTCTTATAAACTATATATTGTAAATAGCAACTTACTTAGTCCATAAATAATTACAAAACATGGAATACTTCAAGGTGAACCTCTTTCTCCATACCTTTTCAATTTCTACATAAATGACATAATTTTTTTTACAAGGATAATGAAGAAATATATATCAATGGTCATATTTTCCACTATATTTTAAATGCAGATGATTTAGTACCATTAGCGCTTACTTGCATAACATTACAACATAAACTTGATAGAGTAAATAAATACTTATCATTTATCGATTAATGCCTCAAAAACAAAAATAATTATTTTCAGGAAAAATATTAACAGTTTTTTTCTTGATTAAATAATTTATCTAGGTGGCAAACCTCTAGAAATTATCAGCAGCATAAAATACCTGGGAATTACCTTTAGCTGGAATGGATCTTTTCAACACCATTTTAAATGTACTTACTGCAAAAATTAACTCACTTATTGATAATACTATATATTTATGCTCAACGTTAAAAATATCTGACTTAAAACTTCACATAAAAATTTTCAATGCTATAATTCTTCCTTCCTTTTATTACGCCAGCCCGGTATGGACTCTTGATTTTTTTTCAAATTTGAAAAATTTCATATTAATTATCTTCGTAAATTATTCAAGCTTGAGAGAACTGTACCAGGTTATTCTATTAGAGCAGAAACAAATAGAATTCATCTATTTCCTTGGCTTTTAAAAAGATTAATAAGATTCTATTACAGACTTATAAATACAGATGATGAGAATATAAAATTTTTACACCAAAATATGTATCAATCTAATGTTCTAAATTCTACCAAAGATACTTGGCAATACAAATTCAATAATATACTTCAAACATATGGAATCTCAAGTATTTTATTAGATAAATCTGATATAAATTGGAATAACGCCTATACACTACTGATGGAATTGGCCATATCGCAAGCAATAACCCAGAAAACTTTACTATACTTTAACAATACTGTACTGTAATACAATAATCAGAAAACTTTACTATACTTTATCTGTTGAAAGACTGCACAGCTATTAAAAAATATTGTCAGAAATACCAAATAACAGAAATACTTGGCATGAACCATGATTTAAATTATATGTTAAGAATTGGAGATTTATCAAAAAACGATATGTATAAACTAAATAACTTTTTCACCCAGACTACCAATATATTTAATACAGTAATGATGTTGTGAATTAATATTTAGTTAATGATATGCAACTATAACTTATTTTATGTATATTTTTTCTATATCTGTTAAAATTATGTGTTATAATAAAACAACATAAGATGTAAAACAAGATACTACGGCTTTTTTCATGTATAAAATAACCCTCCTGTAACAAGGACTTTTTCTTTAGTACAATAAAGCTTTGATTGATTGATTTTAAAAGTTCTAGTTCTAATCAATTTTTACATTAAAACTGCTTAGTGAATATTCTACCTTATTTGTCCCATTATGTTATTTAACATAAATTCTAAAGATTTAATTAATTCTTGAAAATAAACCAGTCCTTTTTGTAACATTTGTTGTGGTTTGTCATCCACTCTTTCAATTCCTTGCCGATCTGTTCTATAAAATTAGAAAATATAATTACTATTATTAACACACAAATTATTATAAAATTTAAATTCATACCTTAATAATAAACATTGAGAAACTGTTGTTAGCAATGGTGAATAATGAGCTAAAGCGTTTCTCAACCGATCTTTGAATTCTAATAATCTGTTTATGCACACCTGTAGACGTCCAACTCGATTATCGGCCTCATTTTTCCAAAATTTTATCTCTCTAATTCTCTCTTCTACAATTATGAAAAAAATGTATAAATTTTAAGTATTGGTACTTATATTTTATGAAATAATAATAAATTTTTATTTAATAAAGTAATCAAATATTTTTAAAATTATGCATTAATCAAATATCTTAAATATTTACTTAATTACTTACTACATTGTCTGAAAGAATAGAAATAATGTTTTGAATTTTATATATTAATGGACTATAAGATAGATGTTCATTTGTATTTCAAAAATCTTTGCTAAATGATATAATAGTATACTTAGAATTTTCTTAGAGATTTAATATTTTACTTATGAAATCTATATGTAGTTGAGAGCATTTTGGAACCAGAACATTTAGAAGAATATTATTCTCTGATTATTTTTTTTTATAAATGTAAACTTAAAAATTTTTTTCCATTTTATTTATTTAAATTCAATGACTAAATTAATATTTTGGAACTTATATTTATATAATAAATTATAAACATAAGTTCTGGAATATATGTATAAACAGGGTGGGTGGAAAGTAACTAGGCATTGAGAAATTGCTATAATTTCTATTTCTAATATGATGATGATGATGTACTGATGTACTTATTAAATGGATGCATACTTTAAAATTCAATGTAGGCACCAGCACCATCCACCAATATCACATTTTCCTCAGATTGTGATGTGGATTGATGGCCACTAATCTGTGTCCACAATCAAACCTGTGGACATTTTAGCTTCAAATGACAATTCTTTATTGTTTCTAGACAGATTGTGGCATGATATCCGTTTACTGTATGCCACTATCTCTACACATTGACTACTAATTTCCACACTCCATAGCATGCAGCAATTTGCATTTACTCCTAACAGACAAGTGGTTGGCCCCTTTTTTGTCACTTTGTATGCAGTTTCTCTCAGTCATTGCCCACATCACTAATGCAAGAATTATAATACATTTTATTATGATTGCATTATTCAAATATATAGTGATTTCTCAATGCCTAGTTACTTTTCACCAATCCTATATATAAATATTTTATTAATTTTAATAATGTACTTATTAATTTAAAGAATGTCAATATAATCAACATTCCATCAGTTGTAACATATGCTACATTTAATTAAATGATAAAGGACAGAGGAGTGTTTAAGAAAATGATTTCCTTTCTTGTAATTTAAAAATGTGATTAAATCATAAAGATCCAAATCAATTATTTAATGCATAATATAGTGTATTAGCTAATGTATGGCAAATCATCACTTAATGTCATCAATGAGATTATGGAAGCTACGATGTTAAATGAAATAACCTATTACAAAACCACTTTTACCATAAGCTAAATAGTATAAAACTTTACTTTTAGCTCAGGGTTCTTCTGAAAGTTGTTCCTCTGTATTTCCAATTGATTTACATAAAGTTTTGGTACCTTTCCTCTAACCAGGACTAAGTTACAAACCAGCCAAGATGCTGGCACATCCCTCTGAAACCAGGGCCATTTTCAGTAATACACAACACCTAAGTTAGAATTCTGAGTGGCTTAGTAGGCAGAGCTAAGAATAGATAAGAGAAGCTGATTGAACTAGCTAGAATTCTAGAGGTGGGAGGAGTCAAGCAGTAGTTAGAAATGAGTTCAACATCACAGCATAACTAGAGTTAGCAAGAATTCTGGTTTACTGAACATGGCCCAGAACTGTTCCAGTAAAACCTGGATGTCTTGCAAACCTACTATGATTAAGTCATACTTATGGAAGCTTTATTGTTGATGGATATGAAAGTACCCTAAGCTTCCTTCAGGTATTCAATTAGTTACTCTTCCAGCCTAGCAACTAAGTCTCTATTCAGCTAGACAACTAATCAACAGCAAGAAGATTGCCTTGGTATAATGGTATAATTTAAATCAACATCACTGAGTCCCTTACGCAATTAATTTGATAAAATATAAATGACAATAATAAAAAATATTATATTTTTCAGCATATAAGATGCATCTCTATTTTGGCACAGAATAATTAGAGAAAAAAAAATATTTAGTTATTTAAGCCATCCCACACTTTTGGGCACTGGAACCCCAAAATTTTGTTTTACTGTGTTCTGGATAAAAATGTAAAATTATGTAATACAAATATACTTGTTCGTGAGATACAACAACCCTGTCCTAGTCCTTTTGATATAAATCCTTCTGATATTTTTTTTCCAATTTTTATTTTTGTTATGGATTCTCTATTTAATTCTTTAACTGCTTTAATAAGCATGTTATTAATATTAGTGATGCAATGAATATTCCGTTACTATTCGGTATTTGGCCTATTTTTCGTTATTCAGCCAAATACTGAATACTTAAAAAAGGAGTAAGAAATAACAAAAACACAGTAAATTAATCATTTTGGTAACTTTTATTAACGCTGAACATACATTTCAAGTTCGAGAAAGTGCAATTTTTTGCTTATTTACGTAAAAGATCAAAGGAAAAGTAATATAACTAAGTTATTTTTTTTAAGAGATCAAAAAAGGTAACAAATTAAATGAAAACTACCTACTTATTATGTAGTTTAGTCATCTATATACTCGTATATAAAAGAACAACTCCTGATAGGATAATTAACGCAGAGCCAAAACTACTGGTGCTAGAATCTTAAAAATTTCAGGGTGTGTTCCTTTTGTAAAGTTTAGGTGTGCTAAGAAAAGATTTTATGAAATTCAACCCTAGAGGGGTGAAAAGGGTAAAAAATTTGTATGAAAATTTTTACTGGATGGGCACATTAGATAGAAACTTAGATCATAAAACATGAAAATAATAATAATTAATGATCTGTAAAGTGTTTTTATGACATCATCCCTTATTATAAACTTGAAAATTAAATTAACTTTTTTGTTTCATTGTAGAAAATTATTTATCATAACTGAAATTCCAGACACTTGGTACCTGAACGGCCCCAGCATGTGCACACTAAGTGACTTTCATTACAAGAATTTAGTTTCCAAAATCTATGAGAACAATTATTTGGCATTGACAGCTGTGAATTTCATGCCAATAAGCTGCCTCGACTTGTTTGATTATGTTATCAACTCAATTTCATATTTATTTTCACATTTTCACTTCGCGGTCCTTCTCTCTTCTTTTTCTGTTATTTACATGTGTAGGTCATTTCATTGTTATCCACATTTGATATCATTATTTATCACATAATGCCATGACACTCGTGTCTCTCCGCTACAACTGTCAAGAATTAACACGATTGGCGAAGCGTAGTGACAGCAGGCCAATAGAGAGCAGGATCCTTGCCATAATGCGGTTTGCACGCCAATTTTCGTACATGCATTAATCAAGCCGAATATTCGGCTATTCGGCTACACTACTGGCCAAATATTTGGTATTTGGCCTGAGGCCGAATATACTATTGTTGCATCACTAATATTTATCTCTTTTAATGTCTCCCATAATTTTAATGTTGGGATATTATCATATGCTTTCATTAAGTCTATAAACAACAAATGAGTTTCCTGTCCTGTTGCTAATCTTTTCTCCATAATCTGTTTTATACAGAAAATATTGTCCATACATGATCTTCCTGTTTCAAATCCACTCTGCTCTTCTTTTGCTTTTGTTTGATATTCTTCTTCAATTAGATCTCTTATTATTTGTCCATATAATCTATTAAATGGTGCTGTTACTGTAATTCGTTGATAATTCTCATATTTTTGTTTATCTCCTTTTTTATAGATAGATGTCAAAAAGCCAATTTATTTAAAATCTGCATAGGAGTATTGAAAATATGGAAAAGGAAATGTTGTTATATGGGAATAGATATTAACATTGATAGATATTAACTGATCAAGTGATCAGGTGATAATTACAGAGGATAAGGATGATCTAGAATACATGACAAGAAAAATAAAAGAGGAGTGTTTTAAAGGAGGTTTATATGTAAACATGAGTAAAACAAAATATTTATGCATAGCAGGGGCTAAAACAGACATGAAACTGGAAGGAGGAGAAAAGATTGAGGGATGTGAACATTACATTTATCTTGGAATACAAATTCATCAAGATGGAAGAGATACATTAGAAATTAATACAAGATTAGCACAAGGTAAGACAGCAGTTAAAAGATTAAATGGAATATGGTGGAGTGAAGAAATAACTAGATTAAGAAGAAAAAGTATATACAGTAATACCCCGAACTTATGCGATGGGTGGGACTGAGCGATAACCGCGTAAATCGGGGTATAATTTCTCAATGTGTGTAAAATCCAAGTCGGATGTATGTAAGCTAATAAATGTTCTCGTTAATCTTATCTCGTCTTTTGATTCGTTCATTGTTACAAGAAATCACCACATAGAGTCTCTCGAGTCTCCGTAGATATAACAAACACAGAAATAAATAACACAAAATAAATTGTAGCTATGTGTCGATTCNTCGGATGTATGTAAGCTAATAAATGTTCTCGTTAATCTTATCTCGTCTTTTGATTCGTTCATTGTTACAAGAAATCACCACATAGAGTCTCTCGAGTCTCCGTAGATATAACAAACACAGAAATAAATAACACAAAATAAATTGTAGCTATGTGTCGATTCTGCGCGATACATCCGAACATGTAAGTTGAACAATAGTGTGGAGAGAATGAGTAATCAAGAATTGCATGGTGCTCAAACAAAAGACAAATCGACGAGATTTGAAAATCGCGTAACTCTGGGTTCGCGTAAGTCAGGGTAGCATAAGTCAAGGTATCACTGTATTAATATAATGCTATTGTTAAAAGAATTCTGCTTTATGGGACGGAGGCATGGAGAATGACTGGGGAAGAGAAGAGAAAAGTAACAACGATTGTGTGAGATTTTGAATACCCCTTTTTTTGTTTAAATCAATTTTAACCTAAATAATAATATCAAAAGTAATATTTTAATTTTGAAAGAAAAAACTTTATTTTCACACAACAAAAAGGAAGCCGTTAAACCATACTTCCTCGAAAACGTAAGTTGAACATCCTTTTTTCTTTTTCCCTTATCTTTAAAAATTTAGT